GACTGATTTGAAGACACCATAACCAGAAACAACTAGAAGTTGACAGATGACCTGGGTTAATGATGGAGACATTTGCTGAGGTATCACCTTATCCTGGGAAGGATGCTGACAGGACAGGACAGGACAGGCTGCTCCTGCAGTGGGGACAGCCACCCTCACCGACAGCTTGTTGTGGTGGGAGATGCCTGAAGCTGAAGGGTCCTTCCAGGATGGGTTTTCTGGGTATCATAGAATCACGGAGTCTCAGCTTCCAGCTTGGAAGGGGCCTTATGGGTCATCTGCTCCAATCGTTCTAGGCAAAGCATGGCCTGGACTAGATGTCCCAGCACCTTGTCTAGCCAAATCTTAACAGTGTCCAGCGCTGGGGAGTCCACCACTTCTTTGGGGAGATTATTCCAGGGGCTGGTTGTTTTCAATGTGAACTCAAGGGTGTTTATTGCATATACAAAAGTGATGTCCAAAAGAGCAAATTGGCTATGAAAGTAGTTTTCCTCTAAATAAAGAGGCTTTGCTATGAAGTGCAAGGAAGAGCCTGCACACCATGGGGTACATCACGGTGGTCAGGAACGCCTGACCATGCTGATGGCCACACTTGAGCAATTTCTTCAAATGCTTTCTGTTTCTTACCATACTGCTGCTCACACTTTGTGCTTCCCTTCCCACCCTGAATTTTAACTTCATCACATGTTACTTTGAGAAAGATCCATATATAAATATTTTGGCTCATTTAATATGCCTTCTGGTATGTTAACACCAGGTCTCATATTTTCTCCACCATTTGGGGAACTTATTTTTATTTTCAAACAAATCTGATACTCTTACCTAAGTTCATTTCCAGATTTCAGTGTTGTATTTTATCAGAGGAGTGCTGGTGAAAATGACACAGTGCTGGGAGACAGCCTCCTGGTAGAAGCATATGTGCTGGCTTGGGGACAGGCTGAAGTGTTTTTGCACGAGTCACAGACCTGTGCAGACAGAAAGGCCATGGGCAAATAATTCTGGTTTTTACACTGGGTTGGCAGGTTTAGAAAATATAAATGGAAAAAGCTTTAAAATAGAAAAATTACATTAGTGGAGTGGACTAGGAACGAAGCTGGGATCTGAGGAGAACAGCTCACGTCCTGGATCCATCAGTTCCCCTCTTTCCCCCTCACTGCTGCCTTTGAACATATGGGAGAGTTCAAAGCAATAACATTACTGTCAGGTCCGTCCCTGGCTTTGTTTGCTTGCTGAAATTTGACTGAAGATACTTGATCCCACATGCAAATAAACCTGCCACATGCCCGTCCTGCTGCCAGCACCCATTCCCGAGCCAATTACTTGCATGGCATTTGTCATTGTTCCTAAGCTTTACCTTGGTAATTTTATTTAGACAGGGGCATTTTCTACTGATAAATCTGGCTCGATTACCAAGTCAGAATGTATTTATTAAAACAGCAATTAGACCTTGGTCTCTCATCAATCACAACACCTTTAATTCATGCATGGATGCAAAAATTGTTCGAGGCGTTGTGCATGCATGAATGAGTGATCTAAATCAAATTGTCACTTCACCAACATCACCTTATCTTCAGACCTAGAGGCAACCCATTTTTTATTTACCATATGAATAATGTGCAATATTTTTAAAAGCTTCAACTCTTCAGTGTTTTTGGTGTGGAAAGGAGAATATTTGCTTCACCAGGCTGGAAACAAAGGGAAACGTGGAGGCGAGGGCATCAGCTCCTCAAGTGCTCCAGGGATAGGACCTCATGGGCTGGAGGGGATGGGAGCCTATCAAGGGTGATCCAGAGGCTGCCTGGCTCAGAGTGGAAGCGACCCCCCTTCCCCCCCCCCTCCCCCCCTGCCAATAGTCTTGGCTGTGGTGTTAGTTACTGCTCAGATGGGGATCGTTTGCTGCAATTAGCCCTAGCAGAAGAGATAAAGTATGGAGGAGACAGCAAAGTCTGAGAATAATTGAGAGGTTAAAGGTGTAGGGACAAGGAAGAAGAAAGGGAATATGAACTAGGACCCTAAAGTAAACAGCTTTAGGGCTCTAAAGCAAGAGAAGTGGTGAGAAGAATACAAAGACAACAGAAATGGACGAGATTGGATTGATAGCAAGTAAAACAGAATGGCTCGAATTAGGATGCTCACAGACAAAGGTCAGTACAGCCATGGGTGTAGGGGTAAGGAATGTCTGGACAGTGCTTCAGGGAGCACTCAGTGCCAGACCTTTGCCCTGCATTGTCCCTTCCCTTTGAGCTAGAAAACTCGGTGCCACTCGATGAGCAGTTCGTTGCTGTCTCTGTATCTGTAGCAACAAACCTGCAGTTTGTTATCTTGTGCCAGGCTCAGCTGTCCCTCTTCCCCTGGGAAAAAAAACAACCCAGAAGTAACCCCAAACCAAAACTGACCCCAGACATCAGGGAAAGGGCTGTGAAAACTGCGGGACCTAAATAAAAGGCCTGTAATCCCGAGAACAATGAGCTCTTCTGCCTGTAAGGTCAGAGCTGTGTGAGGAAGCGGGCTCCATCCCGCTGCGTGTTCTCACACATCAACACAGGCTCTCATCCCAAATTCAGCAAGGAAAAAAAAGATCAGACTTCCGAAATTTCTTGTAGAACAGTAATTTTCAGTGTTCATGCTGAATATTTCAATTCTGGTTCATTCTGGAATATCACAACACTTCACTTTCGTAAGTCTGAAGCACTATAACAGAAATCAACCATAGGTAGTGTGGTATTAGAATTTCCATTTCGAGGCAGGTGTCGCAGTGAAAGGAGGTGTTGCAGTGACGTAGCTGAGCGCTTCCCCAGCGCCAATGCCACCAGAATCCTCACGCTCTGAGGATTTCCATTTCAACACAACAGCACTTACAGAGAAAAGGTTCTCGGGAAGTGTTTGGCCCTTTCCCCTGGGGTCTGTCTGAGGTTTCACATGTTTGCTTGTGCTCCCCCTGTGTTTCCAGGGGGGTTGAAGAGTGGGGGGTGGGGGTCTGCCCCCTGGGCAGTAGTAATTCATTTAATGTTAGTGGGGTTAAATCTGGGGGAGCTCCCATGGGACAGGCTGGGGCTGGGCACAGCAGCGGATGCAGCCATATGGTGAAACAGCACTTGGTTGGGAGTTCCTTCTGGAGAGCATTTGAATTTGAATAGTGTCATGTTTTCTGTTAGCCTTTTTGTGGGTGAGCTAATGTGAAACCCTTCTTGAGCTGTGGTCTTCCAGTGCCTGAAAGGGCTGACAAGAAACCTGGAGAGGGGCTTTGGGTAAGGGATGTAGGGACAGGCCAACGGGAATGGCTTTAACCTGCCAGAGGGGAGATTGAGATGAGCTCTGAGGCAGAAGCTCTTCCCTGTGAGGGTGCTGAGGTGCTGGCACAGGGTGCCCAGAGAAGCTGTGGCTGCCCCATCCCTGGCAGTGTTCAAGGCCAGGTTGGACACAGGGGCTTGGAGCAACCTGGTTATCTGTGGTGGACCTTGTGATGGCCAGGGTGAGGGTCTGTGCACCATTTCTCACAACAAAGACTGTTGTTTTTAGTGTGGAGGTTCTGTGCTAGTTCTATTTTCTATCACAGTTCTGTCCCTGGTTTTCTGCACACCAGCAATCCCTCTGCACACGGATTTCCTGTTCCCTGCTTGGAGTGGGTTTGTTGTGGAAGAGGGAGAGGAGAAGAGAAAAACTGGAAGGCTGATGGTTTGTGTGTCAATTATACATCAGAGTCTTTGCTGCTTCTTCAGAAGCTTCTAATAATAATAATTATAATTAGGGCACTGGGAGACGAATGTGCTGAGATCAGGGAGAAAGCCAGGCAAGCCAGGCCAGAATTAATTAGCCTCTTTTATCTCAGAATCTCAAAGCATTTAGACATTAATTAATGAATTCAGTGGTTAAATCAGCATGATGTTCAGTTTGCTGCGGGAATGGTGGCTGGTGCCGGGGCTCAGCACCCATCCTGCTGAGCCATGGGTGCTGCATGGGTTGGTGCTGCTGCAGGTGCTTCCCTCTCGCTACAAAACACAGGGCACTGTCTGTCACCCTGACAGCACCCAAAGCCGGGATGAGGAGACCCGTGCCCTGTGCTGGGAACTGTGCGAGTCCTCAGGAGCTGTGTGTCCCCTGAGCATTGAAGCTGATGTTCTCCTATGGTGAACAAAGGTTCTCCACTGCCCCAGACCCAAACTCAATGAAATCTCCCACCTGTGGCACTGAGGTTATCCCAGTTAACCCACCACTTCCTCCAGCACCCAGGTCTTGCCTGGTTTTCACTATTCTTCCTCATGAATAGATGCATTTCTGCCTCCCAGCTCACCCGCTGTATGCCCATCCTTGGTGAATATTCATTAAGTGAAATTAGCGTCTATTAGGTCTTAATTAACTTATAAAAGGCTTGTTTTGTGGTAATGAAGTGTACACTCTAGATGTGCCTGATGGCAGCTGGTGTGTCCCCCTGCCCATAACGCACACCCTGGCAGGGTCTGGCCCTCCAGCATGGCATGGGGTGCTGCACCCCTTCTTCTGCCCCGTAGCTGTGAAATTACAGCTGATGGGGTGTCTGTGACATAAATGTGTGCAGAACATGAGGGTGCTGAGGTGCTGGCACAGGGTGCCCAGAGAAGCTGTGGCTGCCCCATCCCTGGCAGTGTTCAAGGCCAGGTTGGACACAGGGGCTTGGAGCAACCTGCTCTAGTGGAAGGTGTCCCTGCCCGGGGCAGGGGTTGGAGCTGGAGGAGCTTTGAGGTCCCTTCAACATAAACCAGTCTGGGATTTATTCTGTGATTCTCTGAGTTCCTGGAAGTTGAGGAGGGGAGATGACCCTGAGGGGAACTGCGCAGCACATGCCAGTGGAGCGGGTGAAGGAGCTCCGGAGTTAGAGGAGATCAGCTCCCGCCTGAGACTGGGTGGAGGTTGTGGTGTCAGTTGTGGGGACATTGTGGAAAGGTGCCCGAGGCGGGAGGTGCCTCAGGCACAGCGGGGTGTCAGAGCTGCGCTAACCCGGGCACTCTCTGTTCCTCTTGCAGGCGAGCCCTCCCGGTGGTCCTCATCCCACTGCGACTGCTGCTGCAAGAACGGCAAAGGCGACAAGGAGGGAGAGAGCGGCACGTCGTGCAACGAGCTGTCCACATCGAGCTGTGACAGCCAGTCTGAGGCCAGCTCCCCACAGGAGACCGTCATCTGTGGCCCTGTCACCCGCCAGCCCAACATACAGACTCTGGACCCGCCGGGCCAGAAAGGACGCGGGGCG